AATATTTCTAAAAATATTTTGATAGCTGAAGGAATGCAATTCAACTTTTGTGGTTTTCTAAAATGAGTCATTTTGTTGTCAAGGAAGCAACTATGTTTAACTATGTTTTAGTTATCGTAGTTATGTATTTGTGAAAATAAAAAAAGATGCTCTTCAGCCAGTATAAAAACATAAAGGTTTGTGGCTTTTTATAATTGATTTTTTCGTTTTTTGTTTGTTAAATCGGTGTTGTTTTTTCCCCCGTCATTTCGCGACAGCTTTTTTCCTGAGTCAAATAGAAATTTCTATTTTACATTTATTTAAAAATGGCTTTTCTTACCACCAAATACTTTTGAGCCATATTTAGATGCCTTTACGGTAATTATTCCCAAAAAGTTAAGCAAATCGGTTGTCGACCTTTTTTTTTTTTTTTTTTGATTTTCTCTACTAATGGTATATGACCTGAAAGCCTTGTGGTACATAGAGTAGCCAATCACAGCGCGCGATTGCTCATATCCAGTAGTTACCTATATAATAACAGGTGTTAGTTTCATTTAAACACCTCGTTATTTATTGTTGAAAAACTTATACAGGTATCGATGCACTTACAAATGAAAGTCTTTTGCTAATTCAGTAGATAATATAAAACGTATGCTCTGATTAGTTTAAAACTCCATATTACATTAGAATATTCAACGCAAAAAACTGCCTTTCGTCATAATCTATTCCTTTGTTTAAGTTTAAAAAGGAAAAAAAACTCTATGATCTGAAAATTTCAATAAACTAAAAGATTATGATCTTTAAAATTCAATTGCCAACTTTCTTTCTTTCTTTTTGGAATCACCCCGAATAAATGAAAAATAATAATCAAACAAACATTACTAACATCACTATTTTATTTATTAAGTATCCCCTCGATAAATCTTACGACACTGACTGTTATCGTCTATCTAATATTATATCTACATTACATATTATTATTATCATTATTATTATATCTATATTATATCTATATATTATTATCTATATATTAAATGTAGCTCAGCCAAAAGGTGGTTATCATCTTAATTTTAATTTTTTCGATAGGTTTTTCCTTCAAAGCTAAGCAACAATGGATTTCAATTCAATTAAGCGACATTTGATGCTGTTGGTCGTGATGTTTTCAATCATAAGTGTACACATTGGTATTGGTTTGGGCGCAATTCCTCCAGAAGCAAAATCACACGGTGCCCTTGGTCAAGGATTTTTCATCCCTAAACTGAACCTTCTAACTGACGAGCTACACGCCGTAGGAGCGAAAATTTTTGATACTGTATCAGCGGATTGTACGGTTACAAACGACGTTGGTCGTACTCAGAAAGATGATACCTTTTACAGCAACACCGAATCACTGTACAAAGCAATCTCTACCAATTCCAAGGTTGGGGTAAGCCTAAAGGGTCCATWTACTCTTGGCGTATCATTGGCAGCGGTCACCAATAACATCGTTTCAGGCAACACTGAGGTATCCGGAATCTCACTCGATCTCAAGACTTACAGTAAGGACCACTCTCTGAAGAAAGATTGCATCAACAAACAACCGTTGGATAAGGAACTTCTAGAAGACTTCGAAGGTCTAGAAAGAGAAATAGAAAAGCCTTGGTTATCCAGGTCGTGGAACAGGTACAAGGTATTCCTGGAAAAGCATGGATCTCATGTGGTGAAGAAAGTATTGTCCGGTGCCAGCATCAACCAGTATGTATTCGCAAAGTCATCGGAAAAATATACCCAACGTGACTTTACGATCAAGGCATGTGTTTCTCTGGGTGGTTTAACAAATGCAGGTAAMGTTGGKGTATCAGCATGTTCTGGRATCACCAACGAGGAAGCAAAGAAAGCCTCCARTACTTCTATGGTSAAGAARCTAGTTGTCMGAGGTGGYACCCCGAAAACGCGAGCAGATTTAACGAATGAACGTAACAAAGAAACAATCTCTACATTCCTTCAAGAAGGAGCAAGGGTTCCAACGCCTATTACCTATAACTTTGTTCCAATATGGAATATTCTTAAGACAAGGTAATACTATTATTATCTATCAAAACCATTAGTTTTAGTAATTGCTGATGATTATTGAGCTCTTGTCATTCCTAACACAAGTGCCTGGTTTCATCATACTTCAGATTCATAACAAATATAGCACACCATGATAGTTTCAACACCATAAATGAAGTAACGAGAAGAATAAATGAAGGTGTGTGTGGGGACACGAGTGAAAAACACACTTCCGTGCCCTAAAGTTAGGCGGAAAATTCGTAGACGCTTCCTGTTTACAAATAAAACGATTGAAGATTTACGGTGTGGGGGCAGAAGGGTAGAAGATTGAAGGCCAGATGGTTGTACTCCTCAATAACTATACTATTTCTTTGTTGTTGATTTTATTTTTGAACCAAACACAGATTTATTGGCACACCATCAATGGCAAAAGTGCTGAACCTTGAGCAGTTCTACAAAGGTTACTTACACTTTGGGTGCTCCTTCGAAGAAACGTCTAATAAACAAGTACTCCAGAAGTTTGTTCTCAGCGAGGATAGTGATCCTGACGTACCAACATACAAATGTATGCTGGGTCCAAGTGGCTGCCACTCGGATTCTGACTGCCATCACAAGCATGTCTTTTGGTGCGCTTGCGCCGGCGAGTCGTGTATTCGCTACAAAGATTCGAAGCTCAACTCAGGATCCACTAAAAAGGAGGCTTATGCTTACACGAGTAGGTCCCCCGGGTGGAAAGGGCAAGGATGTAAACTTAGAGGTCCTAAATGCAAGTGTAAAGAACCAAGAAGTATTTGGGAGGAGAGTTGGTCAGGTGAAGATGAAAATGGTCTTCGCGATGTTCACTCTGCGCTGGCCATGAAGAGGGGGATTGTTGGCGCACTCACAGACGAGTGTAATCAAAAACAGCAATTTAAAGACACGGAATAGTCATTGCTTTTTGCATGGATTTTGCTTTAACACAAGTGTAATTTGGAAGTCGGCAACTCTAAAATACAAAGCATCCGAACCCATGCACGCGTTAGAAAATAAACAAGCACATGAAATATATAACAAAGAAATCAAAATTGTATTGTATTTAACGCAGCTTTTACTGTATAACACATGCATCTTGGTCCGGTTGTACAAGGGGTGAATAGCGCTATGCGACAGATAAATCTTATTCAGTAGATAAATGTATTTGATAACAGCATCGGCTAATCCACTGAATAAGGAATTATCTGTTTAATAGCGCTATCCACCTCTCGTACAATGGGATCTTTATCAGTCATTAACTGATACGCGTTACTGAATTTTAACTTACTAGGAGCACCTTTGAAATATAGGGGAAACTAAATAAGRGATGCAAGGGGAAGGTCTCTAGCTTTTGATATTTTGTTTCTCATTCTTCAGTTCCTTATATTTCAATGTCCTACCCTGGGTTCCAGAAGCTCTTTTGCGTGCTCCAGTGCTGATCGAGAGGAACTCAGGAACCCTTTGAGACCCCAGGATAATACAGTCAGTATTTTCCTTTGCGTGTTGTTGAGTCCTTATTACTAAGCCTAGGATATGTATACGTGCTTATGACAGCTCGTGCAAGAGACATTTATTAGTATTTATTCTGTAATGTTTAGCAGAGCTAAACTCGACAATCAAGCGATAATGACCTGCTTTATTGGTACCTATAATTTATATGGCGATAACTGCAATAGATAATTTCTAATGAGCTCGGGTGATTCTTTCAAAACCAATTGGTGTCTTAATGCCAAGAGCCATCCCGAGAGAACATTCTTAGGCCCCTGCCCCAGCCTAAATGCTAAGAATACAATGGTTATACAAACAAACTAACACAAGTAAGGTAGGTGTTGAAGAACCTACAACCATGACAAGGCACTGATTATATTACACCTGCATCGCTGGCATTTGGAGGGTTTTTCTGGCAACTTGTGCAACTGAAGCCCAGTTATTCACGTCGTTGTATAGTTTGTTGTAGGGATTCGCTGGGTCTAGTATCGTTGGAGGGCTAAAGGAATTAAACAAATATTATTACTATGCATAAGACATATCAGTGTTAATGTACATTTTATGGTATGTTAGGTTCGTTTTTGTGTTACAAATTGAGAGAATCACATAAAAGATAGACGGCTTTGATCCAGGTGAGATTTGCGTGACAATAAGGTAGCGAGGGAATAAGTAGTTAACTTTCACAAACTCTTTTATGCAAGTGACTATCAGTTTTTCTTTGTTCTCCGTTAACAAATATGGTGTTGTTATATATATTCAGTTCAGCGCGCGACCACGTATTTCGTACTAGACCCCACCTTTTTTTACATTCAAACTAATAAATTAGCAGCCGTGTTTGAGAGTACATTAGCATTTTTGTGAAGTGAAATTTTATTGTGTTTCATGAAGACGTAGTACAAGTAATTCTTCAAGTGCAAAGTCAAAATAAATAAAAAAAGTGCAAAAAAATTTGCCGAAATTTTTATAAGTGCAAAAGCCAATCTAAAATTGATATGGATTTAAGTATTCTTGGAAATGAACTGTAATAACGTCTTTTCATACCTTGGATTCTGAGTCAAGGTGTAGTATCGATCCCATGAGATATTGAGTTGGATATGGTTCAAGAAAGCCATCATTATATTCTTGAATAAAGATGCAGTGTTGAAACTACTTGGGCTACCAACTTTCTCCCAACAGTGAATAGTCACCAGCTCGATCAGGTAAGAACTGGGCATGCGTTGACTGGCTGTTGAACTTGGGAGATACGTTTTAGCCCAATGCTTTACAAGACGAATCAGACCTTTGAGYTTTGTTGGCTTTTCTATAATGAAATCTCTTCGTAACTCCGCAACAGCTGCAGAGCAGTACGACCTTGTGTTTTCGTCATACGATGCCATTTTGTGATACAGATTTAGACGTGCTTGCCCTACACAAGTAAAATAAAAACGGTGATGTTCAGGATCAATAGCAGAGTTAATATCTTCACATTAGCATGTTTTAGAAATACTGACTCACCATTGGTGACATTGGCATCAAAAGTAGGCAAGAGGTCTACGGTCGTAACCTTTCTCACGTGAAAGTTGATCATTTCAAACTGCAGCAGATACTCGGTACGTCTTTTTATGTCAAACCTCCAGCCCTGCCCTCTCAATGGTTGCTCTGACAAACAGCTTTGGATTTGAGCCAAATAGTCTCTAATATTAGCTTTCAGTTGCTCAGCATCCTTGATAGTGTTCAGTATAAGAATACAGTCGAGATCTGAGGAATTCTTTAACGCAGTCCCTTTGCCCATTGATCCACTCTATAGAATATAGAATAGTAATTCTCAGATGATTCTAAATTTTTCAGTTTGTAATTTTTCTCACCTTTTTTGTATTTCTTACTTCCTTTCCACTCCACTCCACTCCACTCCACTCCACTCCACTCCACTCCACTCCACTCCACTCCACTCCACTCCACTCCACTCCACTCCACTCCACTCCACCTCAGCATCATTAAGGCATGGCTCTCAGATGAAAAACTGATTAGCTATATCATAGCCAGTTTTCTACGAATCTTCCCCAAACTTGGCAAGTTAATGTCTTTTGTTAAAAGAAGGAACCTTAGAGCCTTGGTTACCATGGAAACTAAGTCACGTGACCACAAGGCCGCCATCTTGGATTTTTAAACAAGCCGTTTGTAAAAGTACCGAAACATCTTTAAAAGTCATGAAAATGCAGATTACTATTCATATTTACAATGCCTATATGGATSTAATTGGATATCTTGGAAATTATTTTAAGTTTAATTTTTAGAATATTTTCTATTTTTTCCAAAAAATTAAAAACATTCTAAAAATTAAACTTAATATAATTTCCAAGATATCCAATTAGATCCATATAGGTATTGCAAATATCAAAAGGAATATGGATTTTCAGGACTTTTGAAGTAGTTTCAATACGATTACAAACGATTTTTTTTAAAAATCCAAGATGGCGGCCTTGTGGTCACGTGACCTGGTTTCCATGGTAACAGATATGCGGTAATTGCTTGCCTTGAAGAATTACTACTACGAGCCAAATTTCGGAAAGATTCATAGTAAACTGTCAAAGATATGAATAAATAACTGATTTTCCATCACTTCCTCAAAAGAGCCATGCCTTAATGGTGCTGAGACTCCACTCCACTCCACTCCACTCTCCACTTGAGATATTCTTAAGATATAATACCTTGACAATCCTTCCGACATGTGGTCTCATTTTATCCTGAAGATAGCGACACAGAACGTCCAAAGCAGAAGATACCTGCCTGTGGAATTGTTCATCTGGCTGAAGGTACTGAGCGATGAATGCATCCAGTTGACTCGGAGATAACTGCCTGAAGTCTAGATAAATATGACACTTAATGCATTATGGAACTGATCATTAACTGCAAATACTAGAATCCCTTGCACACTTTCTTTTGTTCCGTTAATTAGAACCAGTTGTCTTACTATTTTCATGAGGGCATAAGAATTTGAATAACAAATAAAATTCGCGAAGCATTGTGGTAGTAGTAGTCAAATGACGCCAACACGCAAACCCGCCTCCTATTATAGCTATTATACGATGAAAATATTTAGGGATCATTATTTTTCGCCTGAGGGGAGGGTAAGTGGACGGGTAGAGAGTTTATAGGGAGGAAACACAAGGTTTCAAATCTGGAATGGGGGATCAGCTATTCATTAACACATATCAATAAATCATCGACAGAGATCTATTAATCCTTATATCTTAAGGATTTCAGAACAACAATGGCAGGCCCATTAAATACTAGATAATGTGCATCTTTTAAAACATTTGATCTATCTGTAACAGCTACTAGCTCACATTGACATTTCGGTGTGACGTCATTGTGCTTTTAATGTCAGAATCACTTTAGTTGTAACAGTCTCTTTTCTTAGTTCAAACGAGTGTTATAATTCCTTTGTTCGAAATCATGAAGAAAAATAATTGGAACATATTTCTGATACAAATAATAACAACACATAAAGCTAGCCTGGTAACATGTGAAAAAAATGTAAAAATTGATGTTACTATTCCCAAGAAAATAGTGTTGCGTGACTTCCAAGAAGTGAACATGGGTTTGTCGGGAATTCCCCTAAATTTCAGACTCGACCGATTGTATAATATCATTTTCAGGGTTTGTCGCAATAAATTGCTCGCGTCTATGAATATAAAACGACATCGACTTCACACGCTTTGAAAATAATAAATTTTCAACGAAATGTTTATTAAAACACAGTTAATAATATTCGTACCTTGATTCTGTACTGTAGATGGAACACCTTGAAATGAAAAGATATAAACRAGGTCAGCCAGATTTATGGATATAAATTCCTAGCCTCAAAATCCATAAATACTATTCTTCAACCTTATATATTTATTTCATCCATTTTCCATCACGATGAAAGGCTTATCCTCCCAAGGGAGCAAAGAGGACTAAGAATTTTCCATAACGGTACCATACTTTTTCGACGGTGCTTTAGTATTATACACTTTTTTCTAAGTAAAATGAACCTAAATTGCCGTATCCGTTAATTAATGGAAATGAATATGAAAGGAAAACTAGACCCTTTAGAAGGGAAATTAAAAAAGGAGAAAAGCATTTGATTTTTTTTTTTTTCTTTTCTTTTTTTGAAAATTGAAGATTGAAAACAATACTAAAATAACTTCGCAATGATATGTTCGCATTTTTGCTATAAGATCGAGAGTGACACGTAAAATTAACATGAAACTTTGCTCATGGCTTTGCTATGTTAACAGTAGCGTAGCAGTGAATATTGAAAATGAAATCAGTAAAACAGTTTCTTACCAGAAGCCCCCACTATCCTTGCAATGCTTTCTTGTAGAGTAAAGAAATACAACTTTCATGGAAAACTATTGTGCGTCATTGCGCATACAACCCATAATGATGTCATACAAGAAAATGTAGCCAAGCCTCCCTCGATTATTTATAGTAGTACTGGGGTCACACACCAAATATTCGCAGAAACTGAGTCGATTGTCACGCTGACTTTCCTTAAAACATTCGCGTTTTCATCAAATAAAAAAATAAACAAATAAGTAATCTTTTTAAAATAGTCTAAAATTTATCAATGTACAAAAGCGTAATTAACATCAGCGTATATTGACCAACCCGCAAGTGCTCTATAATTTAAAGCTTCAATTTCAGAGAAACCGCAAATGCAGGATTAAAAAACACGTAATATTATTTATCAAAAAACGGGGGATAAAAAGTTACGACGTTTCGATGACATCTTGTGTTCATTATCAAGTAAAGTCAATGTCGTAACTTTTTGTCACTAGTTTTTCTTAATACTTTTAGTTCTAAAGTGTTAGTATTCCTTTCGCTTTAACAAACTTTAGGAAACCTCATAATCACCACTAGAGCAGTGCATGGTTGCCATATCATAAGCACTTGTCGCCCGACCAATCACAGCGCGCAAAACTCTTTACACATTCAAGTCTAAAATAAACCCATTTTTTCCCGTATTTTTATATTTTTATTCTTTAAAAAAGTATGTTGTCGCATGTAACTACTACTTATCATTAGCACGATATGAAATTAGTACGATACGAAAACTATGTTTTATTCATAACAATTTGTACTGCTTGAGATGACATTAGACCGTTTTCTCAAAGTTGCGTGCGCATCCAACTTGACGGTCCACAAAACTGAAAAACGGAAATTCAGTAAAATTGAGAAGACAGTTTGATATTTAAAGAGGAGAAATATCGATTTTATTAATTCTCATCGAAAAAAAGTTAATAGCAATAATGCATGATAATAGAGAGTTTTAGATTGACTTTTTTTTCTCCCCGCAAACGGCAAACGAGACCACGTTTCCATAGTTTTCCTGTTTTTTACTTTACCTTTTGTTTTTCTACTACTTGGACTTTTTTGCGATTCTTTTTCAGTAATTTAAAAGAATTTTTTACTGGTGAACTGACGTTTCACGTTTGCCGTGAACGTAAATCYAAAACTCTCTAATACTCGTGTTCTGGTATCGTGGCCCGTCAAGTTCCTTGAATTTGGATGCGTACGCAACCTTGAGAAAACGGTCTATTCAAATGAACCTTTCAATCTCTTTCATTAACAAATCTATGCAACAAGACTAATTTGCCAAAAATATTTACCAAATAAGGAACGCACGAGTTCGAGATTTGCATGCTTCAAGCAAGCATGACTTCTCACTTCTATTTGAAACGCTGTAAACCAATCATAATACAGCATCCCACGTGCATCCGACACATTATTCTTTAATGTCACTATTTGATTGGACGAAAAATGGTGTGATTGACATCAAAATCTCGTGATCGAGAGGTTTATAAACTTTGCCTGATTTCATGCAGTTTTATTCATCGACGAAGCTCAGATGGAACAGTGCGACGAATAATGGTAAGCTTCAAAGTTATTTTTTTTTACTTTTCAGAACATTTATGAACTTTATTCTTATAATTAAAAGAAGAAAATTGTAGAAGAAATTTGCTGAAGATTTTACTCTAAATATTTCAGAAATTCAACTAACATTAACGGCCACCGACTTGAATTTGGTTGCCAGTTCATAAAGGAATTAGCCAAAGTAATTAATGTTCCCTGCACTCGCTTGAAGTTGAATGAATCTGAAGCTTTTTCTCGTAGGTTCTTGTAAAGAAATCGCTTTAAATATTTTTAAGCTACGGATAAATTATCATGCAAGGAGCAGATAAAGATATTCGAGATATTCGGCCAAACTTGGCTAATAAAATGTATTTTTGTTTGTGTTATTTTGCCGTTTGTGGAAGTAAAATTATTTGGCGTTTAATATTTTTTATTACAAAATTCAAATTAAATTATTGTAAATGAAGGCCAATAAAGCTATAATGGTCCAACGTTTATAAAATCTCGGAAAAATTAAATCTGCGTAAAACAAAAGAACCTTTATTTACATATGTCTGTATATTTTTATGTTGTTTTGAACAAATGATTTACGTTATGTCTTCTTTGTTTCAGGTACATGGCTTCAAGCAAGCTTCATAGATGGTCTACTTAAAAAAAGAGTAAAATCTTGTTGACACGGGATACTTGAGCAAGTTAAAAATTGTTTTCCAAAAAAATCCAACGGTACTTTTGATTTTACGTTTCGCTTCACTTGCTCGAGGTATTAGTGTATTGTATTTAATGAGGGGGATACTTGGCTGTTCCTAAATCGAATATGGAACACTAAAACCATATGTCTGACCTGCAGTAATCATTTCTAAGTCTTCTTGCTCATACATTTTGGTTCTATGTTTGATTATTGCAAGTCAAAATTGCTAAGGACTAGGACTAGGATTAGGATTAGCAGGGCTTAGAGTATACGAAGCCCTAAGATATTTATAGGTGAAGCTACCACGTGTGAATCTAGGTGGGGTTTAGCGTTTTTGACTGGCATTTGCCAGGGTCAATTGGCCAAATCTAGGTTAGTTTTTCAATTAGGCAACGCTGGACATCACTGGAAACGACCTGGAGACGACCTGGATCAACAAATCTATTAAATACGTCTTGTTTGATTTAGAATGGAGGATTTGTTGTTTATTTTTTATGCAGTGCTGGTCGGTTTTTCATCTCACACACCATCTTTAAACTGCGCTTAGGGTTTAGTTCGGTCTTTCGGTTCTAAGGTTAGCGCCGGCCATGTATTACGTGACACAGGTGAACGGTCACTTTTTCTCTCCACGATAGCGAGGGGGAAAGTGACTGGTTGCTTGGTTACCTGCAACATTAATAACTTTGGCACAGTCAAGGTTTGACCAAGTCTTGTTTTTGGGTTCCCTTTTGTCGGCTCTGGAGTCACGAACGGAAAAGGTGCGGCGGAGCAGGCAAGAGGGAGCTTGAAACTGGTCTTGGATTATGGAAAATTTATCGTAAAATTCTCGAGGTATCTAAATTTAAGATTGGCATTTTATTAATGGTTAAAATTTAATACAAAATTGGCATTTTTCCTTCTACTGTATTTCTTTCTTTCTTTCTTTCCTCATCCTTCATTCTTTCCTTCATTTATCCATCTTTAAATACTTCATTTTTAAATTCTTTCTTTCGATTCTTCCATTCATTTGTTCATTTTTCCTTCACTTTTTCCTTCCATACATTCCTTTTTCTCTTTTATTTCTCATCATTCCATTTATTCACCATATATATTTTTTCATTTTTTCTTTCATTTTTTCTTTCTTTTTTTTTTATTTTTTCGGAACAACAAACCTTGGCTACACACGTGTCATTGAAATAACAATCCTCCAGAAATTATTTTAGTACTAACACTATTCACCGAATGTCGCGACAGTATCTTTCTTTTAACCTATTTAAATAGTCCATTTTAGTGTGTTTGATACTTTTATCTGTGATACGTCGCGGCATTCAACTTGCCTTTCAGTTTCCAAGAACAACCAAACTTGGTTGCGAGCCCGCGATGGTTGCATCAGTGGTAGCTTCTTAGAATTAGACTAGAATTTTCCAGAAATTTCTTTCATTTTCATCATTATTTATCATTATTTATCATTATTATTCATTATGATTGTTGTTATCTTTCAATGTTTGAATCAATATTAAATGTTGATACAAATATTGATAATTGTTCACAGTTAATGTGTTCAATTCTCTACCGTTGTTTTGTTTCCAAAATACGGGGCTCTAAAGATTGTTATGAAATAACAATCGCCAAAAATAGATACACTTTACATAGGTTTCTTTTATTTCGTCCCTGTTTTCGACGCATTTCGGTTTCTRTAGGTTTAAGTAGGTTAGCCGGATGGTTTCTTTTATTTCGTCCCTGTTTTCGACGCATTTCGGTTTCTGTAGGTTTCAGTAGGTTAGCCGGATGGTTTCTTTTATTTCGTCCCTGTTTTCGACGCATTTCGATTTCTGTAGGTTTCAGTAAGTTAGCCGGATGGAGCATAATTAAATATATTTACATACTTCAATAAAATATGTTTTTAGGAATAGTAGGCTTGTGTTTGGTTTGTGAATGACTGTGTGTGTAAGTTGTAATTTTAAAACTTTAGTTTTGGTTTTCAACAATGTAATGTAAGATAAAGTAATATTTTATGCGATTTTTCATTTTCCAAGAATTTTTTTTTTAGAAATATATAATAAAAATTAATATTCATTGCTAGATTACAACTCATTACTGATTGTATAGGGAAATTTTCCATGACTGTAAAAATAAGCATATATAGTAATAAACTTATGGTTTCTTTAATATATTTATAATTGATAGTTTATCAATAAAGGTGTAAGATTTTTGGGTTGTGGTACTTGGATATTCCCGAGCCGGTGGTTGTAAGTACTTTACGGTAGGGTTTGTGACCCTATCTTTAATGAGCTGCTGACACAGCTCGCTTACTTCTGTTGAGATCTCGTGGAATATCCACCCCCTTTGATTAAATGTCGGCCATTTTTTTATTACTCACTCCTACTTCAAAGGTTATTTCTTTCTAGTTGTAAATAATTCTTACTTTCCAACGAAACGGAGGGGTTTTTTTCATGGCTGTAAAAAAAGTATTTATACTAACAAACTTATGGTTTATTTCCTAATCATAATTGTTAGTTTATCAATAAAGTTGTATGYTTGRKTYWTGGGTTGTGGTACTTGGATATTCCCGAGCCGGTGGTTGTAAGTACTTTACGGTAGGGTTTGTGACCCTATCTTTAATGAGCTGCTGACACAGCTCGCTTACTTCTGTTGTGATCTCGTGGAATATCCAGCCCCTTTTTCGATTAAATATCGGCCATTTTTCGATAACCGACTGTTATTTAGATATTATTTCTCTTTAGTCACAAATAACTCTTACCAGTTTCGACTAAACGACTAATGACTGCTATTTTGTTTCAGGGCGATGAAATTTTATTTTAATTTCTTATTTCAGTAATAATCCTGTTTCCCATTTTTGGATTTT